GAGGAGCACTGGGGAGAGGTGCCCTGGGCGGTGTGCTCCTCACGTGTCCGCTCCGGGATAGTCTTTGACCTGAGTGAGCACCCAAGCTGCCATGTGTACTAGGGGAGCCCAAGGGTCCCGTGTGACAACGGCATGACCATGCATCCATCCTGGGAGAGGGCCCGGGCCTGAACGTGGTCATGCATACCCTGGGGCCTCCCCTCTCTGGTCTTCTGTCTGGGTGGGTTTTCCCTTGAAGACTGTGTGTGCGTGCACACACAGCCTGTCTGATCCACAGCACCTGTGCAGCCAGGTCTCTGTCTCTGCCAGGAGCAGCTGTACAGGATGCAGGACTGGCAGCTGGCATACCCACCATCATCTATCTGCATGACACCTTCTGCCCACACTACCCCCAGACGCTGGGCTTCAACCCCAGGTGATGATGGTGCCTTCCTACATGGACCCACGGAACTCGCCTGCTCAGACCCCAGTGGATTTCTACCCCTAGGCCCTGCATCCCTCGGGTAAGCACCAAGGTGCAGTGAAAGGCCAGGGTATGTGGTGTGGTCAAGGGCGTTGCCTTGGGAGGTAGGCAGACCCCACCTGGATTCCAGTCTGACCTCTTTGCAAGCCACACGTCCAGTCTGAGTTTTAACTTCCTTGTTTGCAAAATGAGGGTATAATAGTAACACTCACAAAGAATTGTTAGGAAGAGACTTTAAGATTATGAATCATAAATGGTCTTAATTAATTTTCATATCTCTGCCATGTGGTTTCGTCCCTCTTTCTGTTCTTTCGTGTACTCTGTGTTCTCTCTTTTCCTTGATTAGTCTTTCCCAAGGTTTGTCAAATGCCATTTTTTAATGTCATTTTAAAAAATGTATCCTTTGAGGTTCTTAATTCCTGTCTTTTATTTGTTTTTTATTTCATTAATTTCTGCCTCCCCCCATTTTTTCCACTGAAATTATTTTGCTCTTTTTATAATTATGTTGGATACCTAAATAAGTCACTAGTTTCTCAGTTTTCTGATGTATTTAAGTCTCATCTGAGTCTATGAGCCACTGAGTTTTAAAACGTTTTTATTATTGTTCAGTTCTAAATATTAGTCTTATTTTGAGTGATTTTTAATTGTACATTGTTAAATTTCCAAATACAGAGTTTTAGTATCACCGTTATGATGCTAATTTCTACTGTGGCTGCCTTTCGGTCATATATCATGGTCTGTATGATACACACCAACAGTCACGATTTTCTTCTGTTAATATCAGATAATAAATAATTTAGTCTTCAAACTGCTACTCCAGTTTTTTTGTTGTAGAACAAAAACAGGTATAGACAATAGTAAGTGAATGGGTGTGGTTGCTTCCCAGTAAACTTTATTTTTAACAAGTGGCAGATCACGCTTCACTCAGGGGCTTGAAAAGAATGTATTCTCCTAATGGACATGGTCCATTAAAGTGTGCTTGCTGACTGTGCTGTACAAATATCATCACAGTTTTTCATCCCCTTGATGAGTTACTAAGAGGTGTGTGAACATTTAAGACTATGATTGCGGATTTGTCAAATCTTATAAACCTGTCAGTTTTTGCTTTACCTACCTGGAAGCATATGGACTTGGGATGACTGCATCTTGTTTCTTGTATCTTTGTATAGCACATTTGTTACTTGGGGTTTCTACCTTTAATGTCTACTTTATCTGATCATAATTTCATTCCAGTTTTCTTTGGATTAGTGTCCGTGTGTTATCTTTTCCCCCCAACTTTTTATGGTCAGCTTGAGCCCTTTCTGGAGGGGAATATCTTTGTATGTTTAAGATGTGTCCGGTTTTACCCACGTTGAGAATTTGTGACTTCAGTTGCCAAAGTTGTTCCCATTAGATTGGGGGAGAGAGTGTCAAGTTTTCTGATTCTTTTTGTTTCTTTTCCTTCTACATTCTGTTTCTACTGTGAGTGGTTAGGTTAAATTCTAACATGCAGCCTTGACTTAACAAAGGCTAATCAGTTTACCCTGAACCTGAGCTCTAATTCACGAGTCTTGTACTTTTTGCCTGGAATTTTAATTCTCCCCTTGTTTTGATTCCTACCAAATTATTATCTTTGTTGTTTTATTCAGTCTATGCTTGTTCAGATCTGCCTGTATGCTGACTAGCTCCTTTGCTGCTTATCCTTCCATCTGGGTTCCATTTATTTTTTTCAGAAGGTACATTCTGTCAAGGCCTCTAGGAAAGATTTTTCGCCAATAAGTATTCTTCACGTGGGGCTTCGCAGGTGGCACCAGTGGTAAAGAATTCGCCTGCCAGTGCAGGAGACATGGGTTCCATACCTGGGTCTAGAAGATCCCCTGGAGGAGAAAATGGCACCACACCCCAGTGTTCTTGCCTGTGAGATCCCGTAGACAGAGGAGCCTGAATGACTACAGTCCATGGGGCCACAGAGAGTTCGACACAACTGAGCGACTGAGCACTGTTTTTCACCTGTGACAGCCTTTCTCTTGGACGATAGTGTAGCTGGTATAGAACTCTAGGTTTGCAGTTACTTTCTTTTAGGAATGTGAAGATGGTATTCCTTTTCTTCTGGCTCCGGTGTCTGGTTTGTGTTGCTTTGAGATCTCTCTGTCTTTGGTCTCCTGGAGTTCTTTCTCAAAAGGCTGTGTCTAGGTATGTATCTATGTCTATCCTTACTTTATTCTGCTTAAAATTCATGGTGCTCAAACCTAAGGTTGTATGGCTTTCATCACTTCTGGGAGTTTCTCTTCTAATTATCATGTTGACTATTTGCCTTTTTTCATTCTTTGTATCCTTTCTTCCTAGGTAATCTACTTTGATTATTTGTACTTAGGTAATTTGTATTTAGGTAATGTACTTAGATTATTTGTACTTATCATTTGTACTTATTCTGCTACACAAGTGTCTGCATCATGATACTTCTCACTTTGCCTCCAACTCTCTTGAATATAGGAGAGCTGATTTCTGTGGCGCCTTCTGGGAACATGCTTAGAATTATTCTCTAATTCCATGTTCTCTCCAACTGTGTCTAATCTGCTGTTTTTAATTTTTTTTTTTTTACTGTCCAGTGGGTTTTTAATTTCAGTGTCTGTATTTTTATTACTAGACTTTTCCCCTCAAAGATTTCTTTTCTTGTGTCTTGTATTTTTGTGAGTTTTCAATTCCTTCTTTTATGCTTTTAATAAGGTAAACAGTAATTCTCTGGTGTTTAACATTTTGATCTGTTTTCTGAAGTTCCTGGGGACAGTGCATGATCCCATGAACTTGCTGTGGACTTGTGGTGGATTACATTCTCCCCGATGTTCTGGGGGTTTTGACTCATAAGTTCATTTCCAGCAGAGCTAGTCTTACCTTGGGGATTCTGTATAGCTTGGTTTGAGAGTGCACCCTTCCAGGGTGGCTCTGTGTTTTCATCTGCCAGCTCAGAACTACCTTTTATTGTTCCTCAGGAAGTTTCTGGAGAATTCTAGTGGTGTAAATCTGAACTCCACTCTGCTGCCCCCAAGCCTGAGTGAAAGCTGGCATGTGGCCCTGAATTCCTCACAGGGGCCTGTTTTCCCTGCTCTGGCCCTGGCTGGGACACTAGCTCCGTCATCCCCCCTTCCTAAATAGCGTGAGGTTTTTCTGGTCTGTCTTGAAAGTGAACGCATAGCCCTTTGAGGGTCTCTGTGTAAGCAGCACCTCAGCTGTAGCTCTCTGCCTGTGCAGAGAAGCCCCATCTCTTGTTGGGAGGGGGAAGGGGCAGTGCTTAGGAGCACACCTGTAGGTTTCTACATCTGACAGATGTGTCCCTGGCTCCCCTCTAGGGAGCCCTTGCTTGTGCCTCTGACCCATGGCTCTTGCCCATGGCTGTGGTTTCAGCTCCCTGGGGGTTTCCTGGTTAGGGGGAGCAGAGCTCTGCAAGTGAAATGTGTAATAGGTTTTGTACAGCGCTTTTGTGACAGGAGGTTTTTTTTCAGGTGATATGAGCTGCTATATTGCCAAAAATAGGTCTGTGTAGTGCTGAACAGTTCTGCATACCTGGTAATCAATACTTAGTAAATGGTGTGTAACTTTAGGATTCCAGAGAGGGTCCTCGCCACCACATGACTCACACTACCTTTGTGTCGGAGTTATATATTGATCACATTTGGACAGAACACTCCACAGCTGAAAGGAAGTATATAACCACTGGCCTGATGCAGAACCGTTTTCCTGATCAGATCATCTCAGCTTTGAAAATGGGCACAAAAACATTGGCAGCCAGTAATTAGCTTTGTGAAGTATCTGAAAAAGCAGACCCTCTTTTCTACACAGACTCCGGCCCGATGGGAGACCTTTAATGTCATCTACAGCATCCCATCTGGTAGAAGTGGACAGAGGGGCCCTGGTGGGGCAGGGTGCCATCTCCCCAGCTGGTTTGTATGTGGTTGGACTGAGATGTCAGCGTATCCCTGTCTCCTTGGGCCAGTTAAGAGTTGAGTGTCATCTGTGTGTCCCCTTCTCCCCTTCCCTGGACAGAATGTGGTGTATCACTGTAAGCTCAGGGGCAGGAACAACCAGAGCTGAAGCCCAGACTCCTTTCAGAATCTTCTTGCAGGGTTCAGAAGCAGACAGACACTGGCTCCTTGGTGTGTGTGGGCTCCCTGGAGCAGTAGCTCATCGCTCCTGTGTCTGTGCAAGAGACCCTCGGGCATCTCCCGCTGCTAGCTGCCTGACCCCTTAGCTTTCTGCCACCAGCCATGAGCTCTCTAGCTGGTTGTGTCCTGTTTCCATTTGCCAGTTTATTATACCCTTCGACATAGGGGCTCTTCATCGAGAACTAAGATTGGACCTCCAGGGTCTTTGAACAGGCCTTTCAGGTTGTGTGTGTGTGCCTGCAGAGGTTCTGTGATCAGATGACGTGAAGCCGGTGGGGTGCTGCATCTGCGTGATGGTCAGGGCAGCTTGTCTCCTCTGGGCCTGTGGGCGACCCATGGCTTGCTGAACGAGGTGAACAATTGGCTGATCACTTCCTTCAGGACTGATGAGACCCATAATGCCCGCGGATTCCCTCAGTGGGACCGGCTGTCTCTCTCAGGACCAGAGCTGTGTGCCCCCACTGCTGGAGAGGAAGATGACTGCCATTGACCCCGCCCCCGTGTGGAGCCCCGAGGGTTACATGGCACTGCAGAGCAAAGGCTACTCGCTGACCCACCTGAAATCCAGCAACAATTTGGCCATGGACGTGCATGTCAGGTGAGGCGACACTCGGTCCTGCTGCCCTGCAGCTGAAGGAGGAATCTCGGTCCTCAGTAAGATGGGCTCTGGGAGGAGGCCCTGTCCCGGGAGACACTGCCCTCAGGGAAGGGGCACCTTGGGAGGGACCGGTGTGCTCTGGGGAAGGAGAGTGAGATGAAGATGGCTGGGTGCTTTCACGTGAGAGGCTCTGATGGTGACTGAAGGCCCCGGAGGAATCCTGGGGTCAGAGGCAAATCCCACAGAACCTTGGGGCAGGGCCACGGGGTGGGGTTGAGTGCATGTGTTATGGCTCCTTCCTGTGAATGTAAGGCGAGCTGGCAGAGGGGAGCACCTGCCTGGCCCAGGACACATGGCCCGTCCAAGAGGCGGCTGAGGACGAAGACCAAAAGACTGACGCCGTGCTGGCCAATGTAGCCCCGGCCACCTCAGAGGACCAGGGCTCAGTCTGTGCCAGCTCAGACCATGAGGCCAGCCGTCCCGAGGGGCACGACAACACAGATGGGGCCCCAGGGGCCAGACCCTCCAGGGAGGCCAGCCACACACGCCTGACCGAGAGGAATAACTGGATCTTCATTGATGAGGAGCAAGGCTTTGGGGGCCGGGGGCCAGCCCGGGGCCATGGCCATGGGTTCTGAGAGTTCACCTTCTGCCGGCAGCCCACTGGTAGTAGCCTGTGGGGCAGGGGCGTCCTCGGGGCACAGGCCCTGTACAACGGCAGCCAGAGGAGTGGCCAGGGCCGGGGTCTGCAGGAGTTTGGCCCACCAGGTTAATTCCCCCGGGCCAAGCCCCGGCGGAGGATGGCCAGCGAGACACACAGTGAGGACTCTGAGTAGGAGGAGCTTCCAAACAGCAACAGCAGCAAGGCGCCGAGCCTGGGGATGAGGGTGAGCTCCCAGAGTAGGAGGAGGCCACGGGAAGGAAGGGCGACTTCAGGGAGTCCAGGCAGTCTGGCAGGATGCATCCCCGTAACAGCCCTGCAGTGTCCCAGTTTTAAAGATGGGAAGTTGAGGCCCAGAGAGGTTGAGTGATATGTCCAGGGTTACACAGCTGGTCAGGAGTGGAGCTGGGCCTCAGGTGTGTCTGTCGCTGAGGCCTGTTTTCTTCACTGTTTCCTGTTTGCTTTGAGATAACAGTGCATGACAGGGTTGTGAGAAGACTGTTGAAATCCTCTCTGGGTTTCCTAGACCCTGGTGATAGTGAATAGGCTGAGGCCCAAGCCAGCTAAGGGCCTGGCCTTTTGAGTTGACTCAGTGCTTAGATTTCAGGTTGTCTGTAGGGTTAGGTTATTCTTAGCTTGCAGTAAATGGAACCATTGCCCTTCCTTGTGAGTCTTGGTTCAGACACCAACATTGAAAATTGTGGATCCAGCCCTGGGGAGGAGAGTGAGGTGGGCTCTGGTGGGCGAAGGCTTCACTGAGGTCCTGACCAAGAAGCAGTGCTGCCTGCTGGAGGAGGAGAGGAGAAAGAAGGAGCAAGCAGGGCAGGTATGGGGCGTGATGCGAGGGGGCTGGGACGCAGAGCGCAGCAACCTGCGGAGTCGGAGTGTTGAGAATTTGGCCCGGGCCGGGAGAGGAAGAATGACATGCTTGTAAGCAGGCACTGCCTCCCAGGGCCCACTGTCCCTGTGCTCCGCGGGGTAGATGGTGTGATTTCCATGCTCTCAGAGGGTGACTGGTCCTTGTTGACACCAGCTGAAATGAAGTGAGCAGGACATAGACCTCTGTTAGCTCCTGAAGTCCAGCCTCCTCCTATTGTAGTCTCAGATCACAGCCCACTGGGCACTTCCACGGGTGGTTTGGTTGGCATTGCAGTTCCCGCGTGGTCAAGGTTTTAACTGATGGTTCGTGAATTCTCTGGAGCAGTTTCTGGGTGTGGTTTTGGAGCCCAGAGGCGTCTTTCTGGGGGGAGCTAATTTTTCCCGTCTGCCATCGGGGCTGGACCCCGTCACCCTCTTCTCCGTAGGCTCCTGTCAAAGGCTGAAGTCTTTCCTCTTGAATTCCTCTCGGTTTGCGAAGAAGTAGAACAACCTGTGTCTGGAGCAGGGCGACGGTCCTGTGCCCGGCAGCAGCCTGGGCACCGGGATCTGTGAGAGCAGCAGTCAGGGTAGGAGCTTGTGGTCGGATCCCAAGGCTCGGGCCGCCTCCCAGGCTTGCAGTCCTTCTCAGGGTAGGATTCTGCCTTGGGGCCGTGAGCATAGACACAGCATTGCCTGTTTCCCGGCTTCCTCTGCCGAGTCTGGGGTTAATGCCGTCTGAGCACCACGTGCCGCTGCAGCCTCTAAACAGATGTACGGTTCCCTGCCTGAAGTGTGGTGGCGAGCAGAGCATTCTGCATCCAGTGACGGGAAAGAGTGGTCCCCACCCCTCCTGGCTGACGGGAAAGAGTGGTCCCCACCCCTCCTGGCTGAGGTCGCTCAGGAGTTGACTTGACTCTCACCCACATCAGCAGTCCTTTCTTCTTACCTTGAGAGCGAGCAGCAGACGAATATTTGGGAGAACAGGAGTTGAGAGCTTTCCTGTCTGTGCTGTGTGCCCTTTCCTTGCCAGAAGGAAGGTTCTGTCGCCCCCCCCCCCCCAGATGTCGTCTTAGACTTGAAACCAGATTAGGGTGGCCCTTAATTTGTAGAAAATCTCTGTTTCCCTGAAGCTAAAAGAATTTCTTATCCAGTGGTATTTTCCTGGTAATCTTTCATTTTAAAATACGAAACCATTTTAATTGAGCAGATTCTTCTTGAGTTCCTGCTTTGGGCAAGGCCCTGCGGGAACTTGGTGAAATCATCCATTGCTAGGTCTTTTATTCAAAGCAGCTGAGACTTCCAGAGTGAGTGACAACCCTGGAGCCACATGACAGACACCCTGGGTTCTGAGCCTGGTTCTCTTAGTTTTACCACATGGCCTGTCTTCATGTTTCTGATTAAAACCTTGATTCTAAGCGTTTCAACGTAATATTGGGAAATAGTCAGCTCTGATTGAAAGTACAGTAGTCTTTCAGTATATCTTGGGTGCAGTCAGTTTGGTTTTGTGAGAGTGGTGGGTGTCACAGTGTAAATGTCCAAAAATACGTACCTGCCAGCGTGGTCCAGCAGAATGGACCAACTAGGGAGTTGCCCTTGGCTATCAAGGATTTCCCTCCTGGATTGTGCAGTGTCTCGTGGTTGCTCAGACCAGGGGTGTGTGGATGGCTTCAGAAGGGCCCTGGATCTTGGAAAAGAGCTCAGGAGGTTTTCTGCACACACACACACACACACACACACACACAGGGTCTGTGACTTTTGTTGGATTCTCAAGAATGGTTGAGCTAACAACAGTTGAGTAATCATCAGCTTGACTCGTTCAAAGACTTGTAGGGAGGTGCCAATTTGTAGAAATAAATAGTTGGCTTATGGGAGAAAAGCTTTACCACAGCAGAGGTAGTGATACAGAATTCTAATCCCCGTGAGTGAGAAGTTGCTGGCATGTTTACCTGGAGCTCCTTGTCCATGAAATCACGGGAAGCTCGTTTAAGGAAATGTTTCTGGGGATGCTGGGGAGTCGAATGAAGGTGTCAGACTGAGGAGGGAGGTGGTTTGGAGACTTGAGTTTGTGTGAGCTGCCCGTGGCCGTGTTTCTGGCTTGGTTGTTCCTCTTTGATGTCCTGACTCTGTCTTTCTCCTAGCAGCCCTCCCCCTTCAGGCCTCTGCTAGTGACTCCTGGACCAAAGTTGCCACTGCCTTCACCAGCACTGAGCCTGGCTCTGCTGAGGTGAGTGGCCCCCAGGCACCAAGCATGTGCTCACCATCAAGGGCCGGCCCAGTGGCCCGCCCATGCTCTCCCTGGCCAGGCAGTGAGCCTGGCTCATCGCTGGTCTCCAGTCTTGCTTTCAGCTCTGCAGGAGGTGCCTGTGTGGGAGGGAGAAAGAGGGGATGGCCAGGGAGCACCCACCCTGGGCCCTTGGTGTCTGGCCATGCTCACAGTGCAGGGGTCCATGTGTACCTGGGATCACGGGCTCGGGCCAGGAGACATGTCAAGCCCCACGTCTCGCTCTGCAGGACTCAGGTGCTGACTGGCCGTGTGTCCTGCACAGCAGGGCTTTAAGAGCAGCCGGGGAGACAGCAGTGTTGACCTGAGCGCAAAGTCCTAGAGTCCTTAGCGACCTCTTCGCAGCGCAGCTTCCCATGTGGCACCCTGAAGCCCGAGGATGCAAGTGGGCCTGGCCTGGTGCCAAAGGCCAGTAGCCACAAGGAGCAAACTCAAAAGCAGTCAGAGCCGAAGTTTATCTGGAGCCTGGCTCTCAGGGGCCAGGCTGGCCAGAATGGCTGGTGTCCTTTTTCTTCTGTTCTGGCTCCCAGTTCCTTGGGAGCTAGAGGTCAGGGTCACTCCAGGCTGTGTGTCTCAGCCTCTTTGCTTTTCCATCAAGGATTCAGAACAAGGCTCAGGACAGAGCACGGAGCACAGACTGGGACCCATCGGAAGAGAGCGCTCTCTGCAAAACAGAAAGGGCTCCGAGGGGGCCGAACGGCTGCCACGTGCTCTGGTTCCCCATTCATGGGGTGGAGATTCACGGGGACTCTGTGCTGCCAGTGACACCCATTGAATTTGGAGCCAACCCGAAGGTGAGGCTTGAAGTGTTTCTTCTCCGCACCTCCCCAACCCCTGTTTTTGGTGCTTGGAGAGGAAGGAGGGGCCTTTCCTGGAGGAGCGGGCTGGTAGGTGCTGGCAACACTCCAAGGGATGTTGTGGGGTGGCATCCTGGTTGAAGAGCTGCTATGGGCTGGTCCCGTCTCCCTGCCAATGCCAGGCAAGTTCTCAGACCAAGCAGGAAGCCAGGCAGGGAAGGGGATGGCCACCTTGTTTGGGGGCTGTTGGGGAACAGCTGGCCGTTTTGTTCACGTGGTGAATACTGCTTACTTATTTACTTTTAAGTCTTTATTTATGTGGCTGTGCTGGGTCTCAGTTGCGTCACATGGAGTCTTTGATCTTCGTTGCGGCATATGGGATCTAATTCCCTGAGCAGGGATCAAACCGGGCCCCCTGCATCGGGATCCCAGAGTCTTAGCCCCTGGACCACCGGGGAAGTCCCATGCTGCGTTTTTTGAGTTGCTGAGGCTATGGGTCTACTTCACGTGTGTCTCTGCCAGAAGGCGAGCCAGGGCAATTTCTGTGGGCCTTGTTCCCTTTTTTTTTTTACAGGACTCTGATTTCAGCTTGCAGCCCGGCTCTGCCTCTGGTCCCGCAGGGATTCCAGTTGTCAAACCTCAGGACGCGTTGGCCATGCTTCTACTGCCCAGCTCTGTGGTCCCTGTGCCGGCAGGCCCCGGGGAAGACAGCCTCGTCAGTGTGGCTCTCGGGTTGGGAGGGTCGGTTTGTGTCTTGGTGCCGTCTCTAGCTAGCTGAACGCCCGTGGCAAGTTGTTCCACGCCCTGGTTTTGTGAGCTGAAAATGGAGTGGTGTAACTCCTAAGGTCTGTTGTATCTGGCACTTTGTGATTCAAAACTTCCCGGGTTCCACAGTCACACACGTTTGAGAATGCTGTGCTAATTTAAGTAAACAAGTTTCCTTACTCTACGATTATTCAGAAACCCCATGACATGCAGGTGGGCGCTGGACACTGCAGGAAGGAGGTCTAGCGCTGTGTTTCTGAGCATATTTCCAGGGCCTCTTTTTCACAGTCTGGGGTGAGGGGCTGAGACAGGAACTGGGACCTCCATGCCGTGCAGTGGGGCCTGCGTGCTGGCCGCCAGCTGTGCTTCTGTTGCTGAAACACGGCGGCCCTGCTGGAAGGCTAGGTCTGGGCAGGAGAGGGTGTGGTTCCCCCCTTTGCAGGTGTCCCACTGTGTCCTACCCTCCAGGCCGGGCTCACCTCCAGCATCCCCATCCTGCAGCGTGACCACCACATCCAGAGAGCCATCAGCCTCTCCCACATGTCCTTCCCCACCGCTGACTTCACTCTGAAGGTAACTTGGGGCCTGGCTTGTGAGTGGGCAAGAGCAAGCAGACCCCACCCCAGCACACCCCCTCCTTCCACCCCTGGACTTAGCTTTGTGCCACCACTGCCTTCTGGCCCGTAACTTCAATCTCCCCCCACCTCCTTGCATCCAAAGATGGAGTCTGTGCACAAGGCTTGGGAAAACTCGCCCAGCTTGCCAGAGCAGAGCTCGCCAGGAGGCGCCAGCTCAGGCCCGCAGCCCCCATCCTCCAGGGGGGCCTCCAGCGGGGTCAGCTATAGCTCCTTCAGTGGAGTCTCCAAGCCCCCTGTGCCCGTGGCCTCAGTCACACTTTCTGCAGCCCTTCCAGGTACCTCTCCCCTGGTCCAGCTCACGGATCCTTCTCCATTCCCTCGAGGGAAACATGAGTTTGTAGCCCTGAGGCCCCAGCCTTGACCTAAGGAGCATGTTCCTGCCTGGGGGCCATGGGTTCCTGTGTGCTCTGGTCTCTGGCACTTGCTGCTCTCAGCTTCCGACCCTGGGAGGCGACAGGACTCTGTGACCTCTGCAGGGCTCTCTCACCTCCTGCAGAGAGGTCCCATCAGAGATTCCGTCGCATGAGCAGCTGTCTGAACGTTGCCCCCTCCTCTGTGAAATAGCAGAGTCGTGATGGCCCAGTGCGGGTTCATCATGCCCATGAGATGAGCTCACATCCAGGGAGGGTTTTGTATCAACTGAGCCTCAATAAGCAGGAGCCAGTTTCACCCCAATGGTCACTGTCCTCATCACGGTGTCAGTGCCCAGAGGAGCCCGTGGGGATTCAAGGGGCCCAGCTGCCAGCGTCTCAGTGATCCGATTGCAACAGATCCTTCTGACTCTCCACTGTGGACTCAATAGCAGGGAGATGAAGGGGACCGTGACTGAGAGACCTTGGCAGCCTCCTTTATGACCGAGCCCTTCCTGGGTGTGCGGGGTGGTGGGTGAGAGGGGAAGGCTGGCTGCAGCGGCCCCTCTCCCCGGGCCCTGGGCTGCACAGGAGCCCAGGGCCAACTCTGCCACGTTGCCTCCCCCACCACTTTGCGGGACCTTCTGGGACAGTGAGGCTTGATCCTGTTCCCCTGCCTCGAATTGTGTTTCCAGGCAGCCACCTGCCACCTCTCTACCTGGATGGCCATGTGTTTGCGAGTCAGCCCTGGCTGGTTCCTCAGACCATACCTCAGCAGCAGAGGTACCAACAGGTGATGCCAGCGAGACAGCTGACCCAGGGATAGAGGGGAGGGTGCAGCACAGGGCGTGATTGGCTGCTTCATGTACCCGTTCATGGCCTGTCTCATGTTTTGAACCCCTCACATTACTGCCGTGTACCTGGCACGTTATGGCAGCCAGTCAGCATTTCCCGAGTGAACACGTGAGAGCCGAGGAGGAGAGATGGAGCTGAGTGCTCTGGACCGCTTAGCTTTCCTTTCCTGATGCTCTCCCTCCTGCACCCTAGCCAGGGGATTCACTGAAACGGAATTCTCTTTGGTGATCAGGTATCCTTCTGATGAAGACAAGAAAGGCCTAGACTCCCAGGCATGGATGCGTTAGAAAGCGGTAGTTGTGTAAGTGAGCAGGTGTCTGTGTTCATGCACAGTGGGCACAATTCTGTGCTGCCAGGGGCTGCGTGTGGAGGGAGTCTCCCTCCTGAAGCTGGTGCTTGACCTTCCACGGGGCTCCTGTGCCCGCCAACCCCTGTACCTGCAGAGCCCAGGGTGAAGCACTGCCCCAGGGGCAGAGGATATGGCCCATCCTGATCTTTTCAGAGCATGTTCTTAAACATTATGTCTTTTGGCTCTGCAAGGTCTCATAACTGGGCCATACCACATGTCTTCTTCTGTCTGTGGCATTATCCACCCACTGTTCCGTTTCTGGACCCGCCTCTGTTGGGGGTGGAGCTCAGGCTCGTTCATCCAGCTGTGCAGGGTCCAGTGTAGGGATGCTTGTAGTGCTGGTTTGGGGTTGCTTTCTGCCAGTTCTCTGCTCTCTCCTGAGAAGGAAGGAAGTGCAGGCAGGCTGTGTTGAGTTTGCTCTATGGGTGGTGTTGGATGTCCCAGGAAGAAAGACTGGGGTGGAGGTGAAGGGGTACTGGTGATGGGGTGTGAGAAACAGCTTGCAGGGCAGCATGGTGACCCACCCACCTCCCCAACTGCAGGCTGCCGCTGCCCAGCAGATCCCAATTTCCCTTCTCACATCTCTGCAAGCTCAAGCCCAGCTGGGACTGAGGGGTGGGCTGCATGTCTCCCAGTCTCAGGAGATCTTCAGCTCCTTACAGCTCTTCAGGTGAGATGCCTGGGTTTGGGGGGGCTTGGCGGCTTGTCCCCAGGGGTTCCAGCCTTCACAGCCTGGGGGCCTGTACCCTTGGCCACCTGTTGCTGTGAGCATGTCCACGGGGGATGGGGGTGGGGATAGAGGGTGAGCTGAGGTGTGTTAGAGGCCACGGGCCCAGCCTTGTCTTTTGTCCTCATGTCCTCCTGCCTTCCTCCTTGCTCTCCCTCCTCTCTGCCCTTGGCCTGCTCTCTCAGTGTATCTGTCCTGTGCTTTTGGCACCACACAGGTTTTCCTGTGCCTCATATAGCCTGTTCAGTTCAGTTCAGTCGCTCAGTCGTGTCCGACTCTTTGCGACCCCATGAACCGCAGCATGCCAGGCTTCGCTGTCCATCACCAACTCCCAGAATCCAAACAAACCTATGTCCATCAAGTCAGTGATGCCATCCAACCATTTCATCCTCTGTTGTCCCCTTCTCCTGCCCTCAATCTTTCCCAACATCAGGGTCTTTTCCAGTGAGTCAGCTCTTCGCATCAGGTGGCCAAAGTATTGGTTTCAGCTTCAACATCAGTCCTTCCAGTGAACACCCAGGACTGATCTCCTTTAGGATGGACTGGTTGGATCTCCTCGCAGTCCAAGGGACTCTCAAGAGTCTTCTCCAGCACCACAGTTCAAAAGCATCAATTCTTCGGGGCTCAGCTTTCTTTATAGTCCAGCTCTCACTTCCATACATGACCACTGGAAAAACCATAGCCTTGACTAAACAGACCTTTGTTGGCAAGGTGATGTCTCTGCTTTTTAATATGCTGTCTAGGTTGGTCATAACTTTCCTTCCAAGGAGTAAGCACCTTTTAATTTCACGGCTGCAGTCACCATCTGCAGTGATTTTGGAGCCCAGAAACATAAAGTCAGACACTGTTTCCACTGTTTCCCCATCTATTTGCCATGAAGTGATTGGACTGGATGCCAAGATCTTAGTTTTCTGAATATTGAGCTTTAAGCCAGCTTTTTCACTCTCCTCTTTCACTTTGATCAAGAGGCTCTTTAGTTCTTCAGTTTCTGCCATAAGGGTGGTGTCAGCTGCATATCTGAGGTTATTGGTATTTCTTCCGGCAATCTTGATTCCAGCTTGTGCTTCCTCAAGCCCAGCGTTTCTCATGATGTACTCTTCATATAAGTTAAATAAGCAGGGTGACAATATACAGCCTTGATGTACTCCTTTTCCTATTTGGATCCAGTCTGTTGTTCCACGTCCAGTTCTGACTGTTGCTTCCTGACCTGCATACAGATTTCTCAAGAGGCAAGTCAGGTGGTCTGGTATTCCCATGTCTTTCAGAATTTTTCACAGTTTATTGTGATGCACACAGTCAAAGTTGTAGGTTTAGAAGGTATTAATAGGTTTTTGCCATCATCCCTGGAGAAAAACCATGGCAGGGCAGAACCAGATTCACATGGGTACATAGAGTAACTGTGGACACTCTGGTCAGACATGTGGGAGGAAAGCCCAAAGAACATACCAAGCAAGGGTCTAGCGCGTTGACTTCTGCTGCCATCCATAGAGAAGTGGAAACTCATGAATTAACCAGACCCACCTGAGGGTCTGACATTAGGGCAGAAGGAGAGTCAGTGGGACCTCTAGGTGGCTCTGACTCCCGCCTCCACAGATGACACTATGAGGACACCCTCATACACCCCCACTGAGGGGACTGGTCACAGTTTCCCAGAAGCAGAAATGCTGCAGTTCAGGGATGTGAAGGCATCACTGGATGCAGTTGTGACAGGCTGTTCCCTGCTATGGCTGCACCCATATCCACTCCTATTGTGTCCTGCGACCTTTAGGGTTTTTGTCTTCTATAACTAGCCTGTTTGTATCCTTTGCTTATTTCCACAGATCAGAAATGTAGTTATCTTCTTGATGATCAGCAGGATATTAAAAATATTGCTATATTCTTGATATTAACCTGTTATAGATTTAAAACAATGTTTAGGAAGTACTTCCCCACTCCTAGCTCACACGGATATTTTATTACAGTTTCTATAGTAGCTTTATTTATTCGGTAACTGAAGGAACATTTTTTGCTGGACACCGTTCCAGGACTCCATGGAGGTTCCAGTACAGCTGGGAAAGACTGTCAAGAAATGAAAAAACAACTACACTAGGTAGCCTGTGGGAAGGTTTTGAGAACTCTGACTGGAAGTACAGCAAGAGAAAAAGAGAGGGAGAGCTTGGAGGAGTGGTTTTCCATTTTCAACCAGGTGGTTGGGTTGTGAAGCAGAAGTGGAGTGAAGACTTGAAGGAGGTTTGGGAGCGTGAGGAGACCAGTGTGGCTGGAGCAGAGTGGGTGAAGAGGAGAGCAGCAGGACAGGGCCTGAGAGCTGACAGGAACTGGATGTCAGCACCAGGGCCTCAGGAGACATGCTGAGGGCTTGTGCTCAGAGTGAAGTGGGAGGTGGTGGAGGGTGGCTGTGGGTTGGATTGTGTTCCCCAGGAAAAGATGTTGAAGTCCCAACCCCCTGAGACTGTGGATATGACAAAATCATGCCATTTTGAAAAATTCACTGTGTTTTTACTATTTAATTCTGGCATTAATAAAAGTTATAAGGGAGACTCATGACCTAAGTGTCCTCTTATTTAAGTAATGACCTCTGATAAAATCTCAGAACACGTTTTGAAGGCTGAGTGTTGAAAATAGACTTCCCTGCTGTTTTCAAGTACAACAGGCCTAACCTGACTCACATAGAATACCCCACATCCATGTTACTTCGCTGCAAGCCATTCAGCAGATGGCTGTAACAAGCACTGCTTCTGGCCAGCCAAATCACGTCTTTTTTCTGGGTCAGAAACTAGCTTCAGTAGTTGACAGTAAAATCAACGGCCCTGCCAGATACTGCCGATAAGGTGTGACCTTCAATACTGACATTAAAAGGCAACAGCAGGGGTCTGTTGTGCCCTTACTTCTCTTTTCCCCATGGCTGATGCTCCCAGCTGCCCTGGCTGTCAGGTCAGCAGCATCTCTAGGCCATGATGTAAGGCAGAGACAACCAGAGTAGCCAGGGATCGGGTTTGGGGGAACCAGGCCAAAGGCACAGACCCTACAGCCAAGGGGAATCCTGGTGCTGAGAGAAAGGAGGAGAAGCCACGTGAACTTCCTCACCCCGGTGAAGGACCAGGCTGATTACCACGAATGGTTTTTCCCGACACTCCAGACCAAGCCCCCGATCTAAAGAAGGGTATGTTGGCCCACAAGGCTCACCTGAGAAGCTAGGGCCGGGAAACCTAACCTGAAGGTCTCTGAACCCCAGGCCCCTTGAACACAGGCCCCTTTACTCCACCAGGCACCTCCCTAACTTTCCAGCTTTCTACTTTAGTTTCTTTGATCTTAAATTGCATTTATTGTTATTTCTTTATTTTAATTGTGCCATTTGCTTTTATAAATTTAGTTTTTATTTTCTGAGACAGAGTGGCACTGTGCAGGCCGGGACATGGGGCCCGATGGGAGAGAGCAGAGCTGAGACAGAGACCCCTCCCACATGGGCACCTCACTGATAGCAGATGGGGCACTGGAGAGCCTAATGGACAGGGTGGCCTTTCCAATCAAGGCTGCCTGTCATTGGAACTCCACGAGGCTGATCATGAATCCGACCCCACTTTGGCACCACACACGGACATCACTTCCTGAGAGACCTCCGTGGGGAAGGCAGGGCAATCCATGGGACGTGTCCCTTCGTTTGGCTTCTGTCCAGCACTGTGTTCTCATGGTCAAAACCTCTTATTTGAATGAGTTTTAGCCTCTGTTTACTTTCACACAAAGGAGCACAACCTAATTGTTTTATATCTGTCTTGAAATTTTAAATATTTCCATTTCTTTGGTCTTCAATAAGACTTTTAATTCATTTTCATACTCTATGGTGATAGAAGTCAGAATAGTGATTATCTCTATTGGGAAGAGGCAGGAAGTAAAACACATTTGTAAATTATACTGTATTATAGAAGGTGATGAGTGGTGTGGGAAAGCAAAGAACAGCGTGAAGAGGATTGACTGCCCACCGGGCTGTGGGGAGGGTGGCTGCAGGGGGAAGTCGGGTGAGAAGATGAGACCTGGGCAGACTCGGAAATGATGGGTGACCAGGAGCTATATTTGAGAGTGTAATCAAGGCAGGGAGAACAGACTATGCAAAAGCACTAAGTCCTCCGAAAACCTGGAATGTTGAGGGTGCAGCCTAGAGGCCAGTGTGGTT